TTTTGCAGGTAGCTTTTTAATAGTAATAGGAATCTATAATAACAAATTCAACGTGTTTAAGTATATAGCCTATACATCCTTAATATCATATTTTTTTATTTGTCGTGTTTAATATCGTTTCCAGTGTCGGCATTCCTGGTGATCCTTCTTCCACGGAAGCAGTCGCAAAAGGAAAAACCGAAGCAACTTGCCTAACGATGTGTACGAAAGGGTAACAGAGCTGAACGGATCGGTTGTAAATAATATAACGCATCCTGTTCCTGGATTCCTGATTGTCTACGATTTCTGTGCATGATTTTCATGTAAATATGTAAATACAGCATGATTACGGTCACCTAATGTAAGATACCTTTTTACGTGAGTGCGTGATACTGAGATGTGCTCGAAGACTAACATAAGACTTTTCGTTAAGTCTCGCGATTGTACAGAGTGATTGTACAGTGTTTTAGGTGATTTCATCAGTACGTGAATGATTAGGTACGTTAATTAATTGAAGATTAGTGAAAATACTGATATACATAATAAAATTTTATTATCGTATTGAAGAAATCCTATTGTTTAAAATTTCCATAGTATATAAGTAATATTAAATAGACGTGTAATAGTTATATTTAAATAAAAATTATTTGAAAAATCGTATCAATAAATGGTTACTATTTCATCGTCGATTTCTTTGCTACGTCCCAAGCAGATTGCTTCCATGTTAATTTACATGTCAGTATTAATTTTAAAGTCCTCGTGCGATTTCGGTCCCCACTACAAACGAGTGTTATCGAATTTTTAGTATAGCTGAACAAACGAAAGCTCTAGCGAGTTTTTTTCCCGACTTCAAAGTGCATGTGCCAATTATTCCACCCCCTTTAATCAACCCCTTTTGCAGCGGCCATCGGTTCTAGCGTCGTCCGTTAAATTCCCTACGTCGGGAAGTCTCGCCAGGTGCAAACAGGTAGAACGTTTTAAAATTGTTACTCGCGTCTCGTAAAAGTTATCTGTGAAAGATTAGTAGAACTTTAGATTTGAACGAGCGTATCTATTAGTAATGCTTGAGAGATAAGAGTTGGCGAATAAATGTTCGGTCGTATGACAGGGAATTTAGCGTGGGTGCAGTGCAGTATGCTCTGTCGAGTGGAGCGAAGCAGTCGTGTGTCGTCGCGAGCGTCAGTAGTGTAATGGAGAAAGTGGACGTGATGTGAGAGATTCCGGAGACTCGCTCGCCGCTTTGGTAGATTTTTAGGCCGGCTCGAAATTATGGAAGAGGTATTTCAAAACGGGAATTACCAGAGAGAAGCGAACGCGAACACGACCGCTATGGAGACGCAGAAGGAGGTGAGAACGACGCTATTTAATCACCTGCTTTAATTGTTTCAATTCGTCCGCCAAATCAATACGTCGCTTGACGCTATATTTTTAAAAACACGTTCTTCCCTTTTCCGCGAACGAGCTTTTTGAATTATTTCACAACTCTGGTAAACGATGAGTCGGCGCCGATTTGAGAAATAATAAATAACGATACAGGAAAAGTACGTGGATTGCGAAAGAATCGAAACCACGCGCAGCGGTTCTCACGTTTTGTTATTGTTACCGTCATTCTCGCGCTCCTCGTTTGACAGCGTTTTATCAGTCTGCCTCCTCGTAAATTACCGCCGTGATCTTATCGTTGTTCAAATTCAGATATTTTTAAAATCCGTCATAAAGTTATCTTTCGTACACGCAGCTGCAATGGACAGAATAATTTTTCAATGATTCTATAGCTCGTATATAAAATATGTATCGCTTCAACGGTATAGATATAATTTATGAAATAAATATTTTACTGCAAGGGTTAATTGTTTAATTCAAATATAAAACGATTATTTTTGGTTTATTCAGAAAACTATAAAAGTAGGTCATTTATTAAATTCGATTGAGCACCGTTGCACAAGTGTTGGCGGTCTGTACGGTACGTGGAGGGTATTTAAACCCATGTACAATATATCTTAAACGGGCATGTAATCACTAAAATTAGATGATATTAACGGGCATTATCCCATTAAATAATTTAAAACGAATCGTGCAAACTGAATTTTCTTGAAACAAAATTGGTAGCTCTATCCCTTTCATTCTTATGCGCATAGATAAACTTATTTCGCTACTTTTTTTTTTTTACCCGTGTTTCTGTAATTACGTTAAACGAGATAACTGGGCTTCTCGGATATCTTTTTCTTACGTGTGACGTGTACTATTAGGATTCGTTGCTTGATCACATGGAGATCTCGATAGTTGAGACTGAGAAACGGGCAAACGGGGCATTGAATTTGAGAGAGTTTTATACAGTCTACCTCATTGAGACTAAGTGAGTAAACCGAAATCTTCCACTATCGTAAAACGAAGAGCAATATGTTTTCCATCGCTATATACGTACGTTAAATATTGTTACAGAGTTACTGATCCAGATTTCAAAGGTGCCCTCACCCAAGTGAGCTCTCTGTGGCGCAGATACACCGAGTTTGAACTGCTTCGAACGTACCTAGAGATTTCTTATCCATATATTGTACTGCCCCCGTTGCCAGAAAAGAAAGTTTTATATGCTTGGCAAAAAGTTACCACCGACACGTTCGACCCAGATTTCGTTGACAGACGCAGAGTCGGTCTCGAGGTATTTACTTATATAATTATTAATTTGTTTTTAAAGATTCTTTATAATAAATTTATTTCGAAGAATTTTCTGTTGAGGGTGGCTTCGCACCCCATCTTGTCCCGTGACGTGCACTTCATGGGATTTCTCCAGCAAAAGGACGGCTGGAGGGAAAGCATTAAAGAGACTGGTAAATCGTTGAAAGATAATTCTCCCTCAATTGTTTTATTAATTAAAAGTAATACAAATTTAAATATTTTTATATTAAGGTTACTTGCAATTGGTAGAATCAAAATTAAAAGCACTGAGCGTAGCTGTACGACTCAGGAAACCGGACAAACGATTCGAAACAATTAAAAATTATGGAATTGAGCTTCAGGTGCGTCTATACATAATCGACTATTAATTATAAGATTGGTTTTAAGAATGGTATTACGTTACAGAATAATTTGTGTAATCTTCTTCGAGTGCGTGCGCGTCTCGTAGAGAAACAGCACAGTTTGTATAAATTGCACGCGAATTATGGTCGCGTGTTCAGCGAATGGAGTGCCATAGAGAGAGAAATGGGTGACGGCCTGCAGGTATTTGTCTTTAAAGAAGTTCGTCTAACTAAGTGAGACGTGGCATGCCTTAAGTGTGTTATACTGCAAAGCGGACTGCATTACAGCCTGTTTTCTTAGAAATCGGGTCACTATCTGGATTCGTTAGCAGCGACGATAGACACGACTCTCGAAGAGGAAGAACTGATAGCAGATCAATTGAAGGAATGGTTGTTCGGTGCCTCCGCACTTCAAGCCGTCGTCAGGCGAAGAGAGGCACTGCAATTGGCCAAAGATGAGTCCCACGACGCTTTGACTGCTGCCCTCGAGCAAAAAGAAAAAGTCATACAAGGTACAACTATTTAATATTATAAATTTACCTTTAATTCAATGGCTCATTGCTTTAGGTAAATCCGGTTTGATTTCACGATTATTCGTTTCCGTGGACACGGAAGAAGTCCGCGAATTAAAAATGCTGCAACTCGAACAGCGAATCGCGCAACACGAAGAAACTGTCAAACGAGTGGACGAGGATTTAAAGTACGATTTTAGCTTAAAATATTTTTAATTTTATATATGCGGATATTGTTTTCTATACTGTCTGATATTTTCAGGTCTTTCTCTATTAAAGCAATGATAGACATAGAAAGATTTCAACATCAGAAAGTGGTGGATTTGAAGGAAGTGTTTGCAGCCTATTGCATCTTACAATTTAAACTCGCGAAGAAGGTAAAGTATCGTTAATCGAATTGATTTAATGTTCACGTGTATGCGAATCGATTAATAATTCCAGGGGCTGCAAGCTTGGCAACATATCAAAAGTTGTCTGGAGAGTATGCCGTAAAAACTGTTCTTTTTCTTATCGAAGCTGACACCGAACAATAACTGTTCTCACATCTCTCGTGCGATATACATTCCTATACATATTTGTAAGCTCACTCATACTGTACGCTTATTATTACATGAATGTACAACATTGTTTCTATTATTTAATGTTAGATTAGATGATATTATATATATATATACGTATTTACACACGATTCATGTTGAATATATTATATATATATATATAGATATGTGAAATATTTAATATTTATATGTATTTAGTATATGTTACTGTTGTACGTGTAAGATACAGTTAACCAATTAACGTGTATGTTTAGGCAGTACTTAAAAAGTCGTCGCGATTCGAGGGACTCGCGTGATGTTATATCTTACAACTTGTGCTATTGGGAACGACTTCTCAAGTGTTGAACACGTAAACAGGGTAGTAGAAATGTTTAGCTATCTCTCGCTGCACGATATTGGTTACAACACTCCACTCGTTAAGCATTTGACGATGGACGAAGTAATTAATCGATCACTCCTGAAGTATTCGAGATGGAATAAAATTGTGTACGATTTTTTTTTGCAGATAATAACAACTAGTTCTAATCTACAACTTTTACTTGAAGTATTTTTCTTGATTTTATTTTTAAAATATTCGTTTCTTGAAAATAACTGCTTACTTGTTGCTGCTAGCGAAAAATGTTTGAAATGAAAGTTGAATGATGATGTCAAAAGCTACAAGTTTGTATGAAATATTTTTTTCTATCGTCAACAGTTCATGAGTATTTTGCAATAAACTGTTTTACCGTTTTTTGCCAAATACTTGTAAACTATTGACGCCAGCAAAAAATATTTCAGACAAAAGTTGTAGCTTCAGTTGCCAGATACAAGAAATGTCCTATGCAATTTCCTTACTGACAAGGAGGAATGTCATAGCCATATACCGAGCTGTGAGAGACAGCTAAACATTCGTTTAACGTTTGTGAAGCTGGCTCCGTTAGTACACGCTTGTAAGTTTTCTATGTAATATTAATCAGCGAGCGCGAAAGTTTTAGGACGTTAAATAAGAAAGTTGAAAGCGTTGCTGTAACTTTTTATACACTGTCTTACTTGTACATCTGCTCAACAGGCTTGAAACTCGATCGTCGCGGATTGTATCTCGTTTACGGATACGATTGTTGCATTTATTTTTCGTAACGGTAGGAAACAGCGTTATTGATAATAAAATTTAAGATTCGTAATAATCTTTTCTACGTGTGAATAGCTTCGTTTTTTCTACGTGTATATGTATATAATTTCGCATAACAGCTCGAGACGTATACGAATCACTTGGTTCACTTTAATTATTCATTTAACTTCACATATTTTCCGTCTAACGTCGATGAACGTGTATCATACAAATGTATAATTGTATTTTAATAAGAGCCTCGATTTCTCGGATACTTTGAAGTTTTCGACTTCTACTTCTAAAGTATAAACACGTTTGTCTTATTCATTTTCAGGTACACTTTATTAAATAATACTTTAACAAACGGTGAATTAATTTAATTAAAATTAGATATGATGAATCACATATTTCTTTTTCAATAAATACCTAATATATATATACAGTGAACATATTTATGAAGGATAATTGATGTGTCATTTGTAATGTATAATTAGCTTGAACAAAGTTTATTATAATACTTTTGGCAACACATTTAATTATAACTTTCCAATCCTTTAAATAAAATATTACAATTAATTATTCATCGTCCTAACGAAAACGGTCTCTCCTCACGCTTTTTAGATACTTATTTCGGGCTGGTACTGTCGTTCGAAATTTAAATGCGATTTCCTAGAGTCGATCAGACCTGGTTTAAACAATTCGAGCCAATTAAGGTAATCCTCTACAAAGGATGTATGATCGAACGAACTGAGAATTGAAACAGGTGCAAAGTGGAAGTTTGAAAACAGCCGAGGTGCTAATTAATCGACAGATGGATGGTTTAATTGGACAGTTTATTTACGTGTGCGCCGGTATAGAAATATTATACAAATCCGAAGACGATTCGAATAGATTACGAAAAACGTTAGGTTTATACGGTGCTCTCCCTTCCGAACCATGTTATGTCTTAGACGGGGAGCGGTGGTGGAACGATTCTATACAAACACCTAAACGAATCACCACTAAAACGAACGACTAATTTAGCGACAACGAGGGGGCTTGGGAGTAGGAAATGGTTTTACGGGAGAATATTATTTACAATTCACAATCAGCGCGTTCCCGTCCGTTCGTATGAAGCATACGCTTTGGTATTCATCGAATGTACATTACCTGCGTTTACAATTATTCGTTTGTGATCGGAAGGTAAAACGTGCTATCCTCGGGCACTTACATTCTTTACTGTTTCTTAAATCTCTTCATACGCTTCACGGTTATTCGATATCACGGGCTAACTGCGCCTTGGCGACGATCAACGGACACGATTATATTTATAGTGTCGAATGATTGATTCATTATTTTTTTTCGTTCACAAGATCGGACAGTCAGAGTTGGACGCGTTTAAATGCAATTTTCCATTTCACTCGCGCTGTGCCCGGAAACGATGGTAAGAAGAAATGAAGATTCAGTCGTCACATTTCCTCCTCGCAAGCCTAAATCATTTTAATTCGGTTTTACGTTTGAGCAGACGCTTAAACGTGACCAACTCCGTCGATGATTTAAATTCCAATTGGTTAAGAGAAATCATCGAAAGCAGAGAAACTGCATTGTTATTCCTTGTTGCGCAGAATAGAATTTCCGATAATTTTTAATGAACTCGTACGACTGCGTCGACGTCTGATTGGAACGCGACGCGTCGATCTAAAAGGACATTTCTATATTTATTGCACCCCTTCACCCGCGAGGATACACTGAAATTGCTTAAACAATGACGAACGAATTAATGGTTCTCCTAATTTATTAAATAATTAAATAACTCTCTATTCAGCTAACGTCAATTAATACCTACCGTCCTCGTATTTATTTCAGAGTCCTCCGATCACAATGCTGTCGATTTACAATTTCAGTGCACAAGGGCGAGTTTCGTCCGAACTGTAAATTAACTCGATTAAAACATCAACTAAATTGCCTTGCACGTAATCCCTGCGTGTTTCGCGGAATACAATTTTCGATCGGGTCGTACCTTAATTTTTAAACACTCTGTAGTCGATTTAATCGGTAGCAGAATTTATTGTATTCGTTTAAAAATATCGGCGCAGTGTTTCTCGTTTCTTCTCGTCTGTTTCGCTTAAATATAATTTACTCTATTCCCTCAACGATCAATTAATTAGAACGACGTACGTCGGTTGTCATCCATAAATCATTATACGTATTCTACCTGAGATTTTTCACGAACGGATTCTTCGTAGCAGTCCACAATAAAAACGTTTAACCGCGAAACATCGACACGTCTACTACCGAGCAAAATTATACAAATCAAATCGAACAATTATTCGTTTCGCACATTCGCTCCGAAATATGATTGCACATAGCTGCGTCTCGTAAATTGTACAATAATTTCTGATTGTTTAGAACGAGAACTATTCGAATCGTTGCTTTGATCCTCTGCTGATTTAAGCTCATGTTTCTGCAAATCGTGTGGTTCTTGCAATTTGCCTGAGTACTTTGCTAATTGTATATTTCCAAACCCTTTCACGTAAGAACCGTAAAACGTACTTATTAAATATGCTCTTGGAAACTGAGAAACTTACTTCCATCGTAATCTGCATTTCTCTGTTAATTAACTCTAACATTCAATTTATCAGGAAGTTCAATTAATGATTGATGCAAAAATTATTTTATCACAACACCGAGTTCAATAGAAATGACACGCCGTAATAAATGAAATCCTCGACTGAATTTCACTTCTTTCGTCTTTCTATGAAGGATCGAGTCAACCGCACGAGGGTAAAGGGGAAACGAAGGCTACAATTAATCGGCTCGCGTTCTCAAGTCCTGGTCTCTCGACCGCTCTACTTGTCCTCGCAGACTACGATTCTCTTCAAGCACTTATTGAAAGAGGACCACGAAGAAAGCGGACACTTTCGTTCTGGCCACACTGCACAACACTATGGACTTCCTGTATCGTGGTGAAGGGAGTCACTGTCACTTTCTAGGTAAGTTACATAGCTATCCGTGCTGTCGGGGTGCTGGCCCATGTCCGAGCCGCCTCCGCTCGGATGGTGCGGTCCAGGCGGTGGCAACGGCCCGCCACCCCCGCCGCCTCCGCCGTCGTTCATTGGACCGCCGAGCATTCCCGGCGGTGGCAATTGTGGTGGCCCGCTGTGAAGATCGTACCCGTGCATCTGGAATTGGACATTGAACTATTCTTTTATCAATAACGCAAATAATTGACAAGATTATTGAATATAAAATACATCAAATCATTCTACGATTAACCCATTCGCTGCCAAGTTATTTCTTGGTAAGAGCACATATATTATCATACATAATCATTTAGAAGCAGAAAACCAAAGACGAGTATACTCGTCCCTGGCAGCGAATGGGTTAAACAAACATTCTGAGCAATGTGTTTCATACGAGAGAATGGCAATCGAACGTGAAACACAAAAGTTCATAAATTGTGTGTACCTCGTTTGTGATGTTAGAAAAATATCTCTAGTAGAAAGATAATTGAAATTTACCTGCGACACTAGATGATGGAAAGAAGGCGTGTTGGGATCTAGCCTGTCCAAATCGGTGTGCAGGGCGAAGTCCGAGAGAGCTTTCCACGGTGGCTGATAAGCTTGCACCTCGAGTGGTGTCATCCCTATAGAACTTTCATGTCTGACAGGACTGCTGGCTACCATGGGTATACCATGCATCCCCCCAAAGCCCAATTTACGTCCTTCCTGCACGATAAAATTCATACTCTAATATAACAAATTAAACGAATATCAAATTGGACGGTTATCAAATTATTTCACGTTCGTTATTGATTTACGAGATACGTGAAATAAGACTGTATTTATAAAAATTTCTTATAA